GGTTGTTTTCTTGCAAACGTTTCATTACCTGAAGAATGAAATGTTTGCAAGAAAACAACCAAGCTCAGAGAACCCCAAGCTGGTTGTAGTTGGTTGATCTGGATTACACCTGGCAACAATTTCCACTCTGGATGAGGTCACATTTCCCCAGAAGGAGCAGGTCTGCAACTTGGAGGTTCTCCTGGATTCATTGCTTCTGCTCACAGATGGATGCTGTGGCCAAAGAGGGTTTGGTTGGTTGCAGTCCTTTGGCTTCAGTTGCAAGCCTTTCAGGGACTGGGAAGCTGTTAATATTTGTGTCTCATGATCTCATTGTCTTACATTTGGACTACTGCAACGCACTTAATATGGTGTGCTCTTGTTAACATTGGTTGCTGTATGGGGCTGCTAGTGGTCTAAATTTTAAAGATTATACATTCTCCCAGTGTGTCATGGAAAGACTTTCATATACCTGGAAAATACCTGGAATTACAGAAAGTCTTATTATATTTCTGTTCTGCCCTGAACCAGCAAAACTATAAAATGTGAAAGAAACACCAGAGAAAATTGTATACTTACTGTTTCTTTCTGATGGCAGCAAAATTTTCAATGATATTTTGGCACAAGATGTTTTCATTCAGACACAGGACATGTGTAGGTTACAGTTTTAAAAAAACTGTTGGTAGATCAGCTTACGGCAAATTCAGCAAGGTCACAGAACCTCATTATTTGTTTAAGAAATAATTAGTTTTGTACTGCATTTCTCGGCAGGAAGTTTTTATCAAGCTGGGGAGAGGCTATATCTGGTTCAGGAAGTCACAAGTTATGCTGTGCAGGCCTGCTTTTAAGGTGCACATCTAAATGCTGCTTCCCAGTCAGCATATGTTCTCATTTGAGATAGGTGGGCATGGTTTCCTTATTACAAATGATAAAATTATCTGCTGCTTTTGCAGTTCCTTTCAAATGATGGGCTTTGCTGTTCATGCCATTGATGTGATTATATCCAAGAATGTGCTGTAAGAAGCATTACAACCAAGTCTGAAAAAAGTGTGCTCTAAAGGAAATTTCCAAGAAATGAATGGGCAGCTTACCCAATAATTATTGCTAGGAACTTGATATCAGTAGCAGCTTATAATGGTTTAACCTTCTGGAATGAGTTATTCATAATAGCCTTCATTTTTTTCTTAACTGATCTGTTTTCCCCCACCCCCCACCCCTTTATCTATATTATAGGATCCTATGCCTACAGGAATAAATCCTCAGAAAGGTCCCCAAGCAGGAGGAACGGTTCTAACTATCAGCGGCACAAACTTAGCCACAGGTTCTATACAAGATGTTAGTGTTTACCTTGGTGAAGAACCCTGTAGAGTGTAAGTATAAGATCCATACTAGCATGACTACTTCTTAATATTCCCCCCAATCTGTTGCCTTATGTACTGTTGTGCCATTTATATCATGTATTCTGACATACTGTCAATAGAACAATTGGTTAACTTGATAATGACATTTTGCTGTTAAGAATTCTTTAATTTTATGATATTAGTTCTTCAGTATTTTATACTATTCAGCATTTAAGACAGGGCATGTCTAACTATTGGCCATTGATGAGAGTAATAAGCTAGGCATGTGAACAAAACAGATTACAAGTCTAGAAAGCACCAACTGAATGAAAATATCATACAGGTAGTGCTGGTTTAACAGCCACTCATACAGTGACCGTTGGAAGTTTCAGCGGTGCTGAATGGGGAGACTTATGGCCAGTCCTCATAATTGCGGCCATCACAGCGTCCATGCAGTCATGTGAGTGCAATTCAGGTGCTTTGCAACTGGTGGGCATTTAAGACTGTTACAGCGCCCCGCAGTCACATGATCACCATTTGCAACCTTCACTGCCTGCTTCTGACAAGCAAAGTCGGTGGGGAAATCGGCAAGAGGTCACAAATGGTGATCATGTGACATTATGCCTAACAACTGCATGGGATTCACTTAACGATGGCAACCAGAACTGCTGCAAGTGCCGTCGTAAGTCGTTATGATCACATGATGTCACGCTTTATGACTGCATCACTTAGCAACAGAGTTGCCAGTACCAATTACTGTTGTTAAGCAAGGACTACCTGTATTTATTAAAAAGCCAACGTGAAAAGGAATAGGAGTATAACACCCTCAAAACAAGGGCATCTGGAGTAGAAGGTATTAAAATGTGCAAGATGGCAGGTGTGGCAGCGTGATCCCAACCTCATCCTTTTGGTTGTTGCATATACAGAAGGGGCAGGATTTGGATCATGATGCTGTGGCACCATTTTGATTCCTCTGAGGATGCTGCTGCTCAAAAGTAACAGATCAAAATGCCTAATCCTTTATATTTGGGCATGCTGTTTCCTAGTTGCTTATAGGTCCACCATTGAATCTATAAAATTTTTTCAGGCAACAGCAAGACTGAAAACAAAGTAGTTTTAAAGTGCAACCCTTGCCTCATTTTTATAGAGTGAGTTTCTGAAAAGTGGCAGTGGTGATAATCAGTGACAGCAAACAAAGCCACTTGACAGTGAGGTGAATACACAGGGTTAATAAAAGATAGAAGTTACAGTTAATTATTTCTAATAGGTGTTAAATAGGGGAGATAGACTTTTTCTGTTGACGCTTCCATGGGAAATTAAAGGTGGAAAATATATTATCTACATCACTTTCAACAGTACAAAAATATGAGGTATTTTGGGTTGACTGAGAGAGTTCAATAATAAATTGGTATTATCCACTTCAGAGAGTCCAATTTGATGGAGGGGAACAGAACTGCTTTGGTTAATATGTCATGCTCTGCCTGTTGAATATTTGAATTGCCCTTCATTGAAAATTAGTTGGTTTGTATTGCTGCAAGTAATGTGGTAATTAAACATGTGCTTCAGCCTTAATTAAGGAATATTTTTGATATGAGTGAATCAAGCTTTATCACATTTGTATTCCATATTGAGGAAGCAGGAGCAGCATATTTAAGTTCTTCCATTCTCTACTTCTTAGATAGCAATCTTGATACACATTGCCATTGCATGCTTGATTTTATCAAGGCCCGTACACTCTCTGTCTAGTAATTTTTCTGAAATGCACATTTCTGAAGTGCTAATATTGTTGCATTATTAGAACACCCTCAAAAACTATAATTGAAAACACAGCATGGGTTATGTTAGCAGATGTTAATGCTGACATTGAAGACATACACATCATGTTGCAGTATTATAATCAAAAGAACTATAGAAATGATTTCAATTTGGAAAGATAACTTTAAATGCTATTAGAATGAGCATTTATAAAGTATATTATGCACACACATACATGCTCACAACATTTGCATGGAAGTGAGAATGTTGTCAGCAAGCATGTATACTCTGTTGTATTGATGTCTTAAGTGAGGTTTTACAATGTATGGGTTTGCTTTGACTCAAGGATATGGCTGGTCAGTTTTGAGCAGTGTTTCTCAACCTTGGGAACTTTAAGTTGTGTGGATTTCAACTTCCAGAATTCCTTAGCCAGCCATGCTGGCTGGGGAATTCT